ATAAAGGAATGTCCCACAGCAAAAATTTCCATCTGGTTCCTCGGGGAAAAACAATTTACTAAGGTTGAAGTGTTGTGGGGTCCACCCAAACAAAACTTTTAGGAATTGATTTACTTTATGGGCAAATCTGGAAACTCCCAGATGGAACTCTGTGGAGTTTCTCAGTGGAAGACACCGGGTTTCTGGGGATACAAATAGAATCTGAAAGAATGTGGGATGATTCGGGCTCTGAAAATTTTATCAGTCTATTAGAGGAATCAATACCATTGTTGCTTTCTAAAATTACTAATGTAAAAGAGCCCAACAGCATCACTTATAGGGACTGATGAGGTGGTGACGGTTTTGGAAAAAAGAGGCATCATTGAAAGGACTCATTTGCCTTATAATTCACTGGTGTGGCCAGTAAAGAAACTGACCTGGCATGGGCATTTCACAGTATATTGACAGTTAACTGTTAATACTGCACCTTTAACTGCTGTAGTTCCAAACATTGCTGAGACAGTGACACTGATGGGGGGGGGCTGCTCATGGCTTGGATGGCTGCCCTAAATGTCAAGGACATGCTTTCGTGATTCCCCTCCTTGAAAAGGATAAAACACAGTTTGCCTTTACATGGAGTGGGATCCAATACACTTTTAATAGGCTTCCACAAGGATATAAACATTCTCTCATTATTTCTCACAATGCCTTAGCTAAGGTCTTAGTAGAGATTCCTGGAGATTTTTAAAAAGAGACTGCATGTGGCACTTAGTGCCGTGGTCTAGTAACCGCAGCGGTAGTGGATCAAGGGTTGGACTTGATCTTGGAGGTCCCTTCCAACCCAGTTGATTCTATGATTCTATGATTCTATGATTCCTATTCCACCTGACATTACATTATATCAATATATTGATGACAAACTGATGGGGGAGATGATCAAGAAAGTATAAGAGACACAATGAAAAACATTCGTGAAACACTAATTGAATTGAGATTGGAAGTTATGGAATCAAAATGCCAAGGACCGGCACAAGAAGTTAAATTCTTAGGAGTCTGGTGGATTAAAGGAGTTGCTTCTGTTCCTTTGGACACCCTGGAAAAAATGGAATACAGGCAGAACCCATCTAGTGTAAAGAAGTTATAGGAAGTTCTGGGAACTTTAGGCTACTGGCGTAAACATATTCCTGGATTTTCTATTATTGCCCATCCCTTATACAATCTGCTCAGAAAAGGAAAATTGTGGGAATGGATGGAACAGCACCCAAATGCATTAAAATTGTTAATAAGAGAACTGAGGCTGTTCCAACAGCTTAGCCCTATACACCTGACTGACCCTATCCATGGAGAATGGAGGTTCAGTGAGCACAGCTCTGTCAGAGACTGAAATGGTTAATGATTTATGCATTCTAGGAGACTCTTGCAGGCTTTTGACTTTTGCATTATACCTGGATGGACAGTTGGGCCTGTCCCTCCCTCCAGTGAAGAGCCAAGTTTGCAGGCTTTTGACTGTTGCATTATACCTCTGATGGGCAATTGAAGGTGTCAAGCCCTGAAAAGGCAGGACCTCTGATGGCCCATCAAAGCCCATCTCCCCCTCTGCCAATCAAAAAAGGCGGGAACCAGGCCAGACACAGAAACTCTTGCTCAGGGCCCAGGGAGAGTTTGGAGGCTTGAGGCATGGCCCATGACACTAATCATGGATATAATAACTCATAACTTCTTGGCGTGTGGGGGCTTCCCTCCTTCACCCCCAGGAGATCAAGGCCACCACTTCAACTGACAGACATGGAAGCGGCAACTACCAAGTGTCATCGCTAGACCCCGTGGGCGGTGACTATATACGTTTTGTCCACTCTCAGTTTTTCTTTTTCCTTACTCTCCCTTACTCCTATCCTGTCTTTCTCTCCCCTATGCATTTTCTCCCCCCTCAAAGGTTATCTCTATGCCACCTTGTTATATGACAACACCCAAAATGCTAGCATACCTGTTGATACAAAATTGTTAAAATAAACCTTACCAATATATGTTTTCAGACACCAATTATTCAGTGTCTTTTCACTCTAATCCACCCCGAGGGAATTATTGATAAAAACCTGGGTTACCCCCACTCCCCTTTTTCTGGGGCGGGTCATAACAAGCTCTCATTGTAACCTTTGGCAAAAGGGGCCACAAGGTCCAGAAAGACCACTGGAGTTTAGCTCCCACTCTTTCAATGATGCTGAAGTGAGATACTTGTATCTTGAGAAGACTTGTGAGCCTTCTGGCATGAGCGATACCAGGTGGCAATTCAACCTAACATTGCCAGTTAACAACAAGATCGAGCATTTGTCCACTTTTTGTCTTAACAGGATGAACTGCATGTGGAATGAAGCACTGTCATATACAGAGCTAGAGTGCCTGCAAGGACTAGTGGTGGTTTTGGTGTTGGTACTTATACTCTTTGGTTTTATGATAATTTGGAAACTGAAATTCTTATCATAATGCAGGTAAAATACTGTTTATTATTCTTACTGTCAATAGACAGAAGTTCAGGTATCACTTCAAATCTTATGTTGCAGTAAATCCAAGCTTTTGGATGTACACATAATGTTAGTCAAATCACCACATGTTTACCTTTTCCTCCATCTGCCAACTCACCAGTAACTTGGGGAATATTCACTATGGATTTGAGCAAAACTTGTGAGGTTATGTGGAAAAAACACACAAATCTGACTTGGCAAACTGAGGAAGGAAAAAATGTTTTAAAGTGGGCCAACAATAATACAACTATATGGAACTGTAACATCACTAAGCCATCATTGAAATTCGAGACTAATAGTGACACAACTGAGACAATTTATCTTCCTCCTGAGGATACACGTACTGATACACTATGGGAAATGCATATTCCAAGGGTGTGGGGAGGGCCACAATGCGGTGACTGCATTATATGCAACCTACCAACTGATGCATTGATTGGGAAGGAATGATTGGATTACCAGACGACCCCATACAGGCTGATGTTCTGGACACAGATTTTAATGTTTCTTGTTCAAACAGCCTGAAATATCATAATTGGAATTGTACCAGAGTTTACAATTGCAACTCCAATGAAACTGAAATTCAGAGATTGGGCCCAGCGTCTCGAGCTCTCAGATTAGGTTATATTTGTTGAAACTATATCACCCCACTCAATGACACTTGGTCTCATTTGACTAACAATGATACTGAGCCTGACATAATTTGTTCAGAACTAAGTATACCCTCATGGGGCACACTGTATGGGTTAGAAGTGATGGAACACGGTCTACTGACTTATTAATAGAGGGCTGGCAACACCAACACATGCTGGGACTATTAACACTTTGCCCCCTTTGGAGGAAGCAACCTCTTTCACTGGCTCTGTGGGGACAAATCAAAAGGGAATCAGAAAACCAATGGCAACACCTGACAGCTGGAACTGTGGTGGGGTGGATACTGGAATCAATTTTCACACCCCAGTTGATGGCATTCCAGAATTGAATGATGTTATATAATTTTGCTGGTCAAATCTAAGCATTGGCTTAATGCAACTCATGCAGGACTGAAGGAATTAAATTGACTAGGAATTGTAGTGGTTCTAATCAGAAATTAGGCCCAGCTGCACCCAGTCCCTCTGATCTCTGAGGACCAGCTGGAATCAAAGGGGCTTTAGTTTCTGCTAAATTTCTATACCCTTAATGCAATATTTAGCTTGATTTTGGACCTTTAAAATATACCAAGAGCATTATGAGTTTTGGTTTTGTTCTCCATAGTGTTTACATATTGTCCCGAGGGATGTCTTCAGTAAGTTTTGAGTTGTTTGTTTTTTGTTGATTTGATTTTATATGTATATATATTTATTTTAATATTCCATGCCACATAAGTCAGGAATAGCAATATTGACCAGAACAAGACAGACTCCTGTAAGTCTAGACTTGGAGTGTCTTTCCAGATTGAATGACAGCACAGGTAACTACTCCAAAATCCATGAATCACAAGGCAATTCCATTTAGGCTGCATCTCTTCAATTTGCTTTGAGAAAGCCTCCAAGACAGCATCCAAAACCTTACTGCAGCTAAGATATACACATTAATTCCTTCACTTATACACTCAGTGAATTATCTTTTAGGGAAACAAATTAGACTTACTACTGTTTTTAAAATAATTCAGGTTGTCTTTTATCGCTATTATCTTCTATATGCTTACATACCAACTGGTTAGTGGTTTGTTCCAGTACCTTACATTTAGGAAAACAATGCTGGTGGTTACTTATTTTATTCTTTCCACTCACCTACCCACCTTTAAAATATTGGTGACATTTACCTTCAAGTTGTTTTTAACTTCCCCTCCCTAACACAAATTCCTATAGATTTTGAGAACTTCTGAAGCAGCAGCTCAAAACTGTCTCAGTGAGTTTCTTGAATACTTTAATACAAGTGTCTTCTGACTTTACCAATTTAAATAATTCCTTTCCCGTTTCAGCCTGTGTTCTTCTCTCCATTGTACAAGTCATATCTGGTCACAACTGACCTTTCCTTCAAAGCAGTGTTGATTGTTATAGCCCTCTGTTACTTGATCTCCTTTACTACTCAGTAATGGAATTCTGCTTTCCTTTGTTGCTATCTTCTCATACTCTTAATGAATCTTTTCTTTTTGCCTTCTACTTCTCTCTGGTTGTGAATCGATTTCTTCCTTAAACTTTCCAGTTTAGCTCTAGTGGTTTCTATACTTACCCTCAGTTGTGTAGCTACATTTCCACTTTTTGCTTCATTCTTTTTATAGATCCTCAGGTACTTACAACCTGTTGCAATCATACTTGTTTCATATCATGCTTTCCTCCAACTCTAATTTTCTCATATAGTAGATCAGAAATTCAATTTCACCCAACCTTAACTGAACAAGCAAACCTGAAGAAAACACTAACTTGCTTTACCTAGTACCACAATAAAGTTTACATCCCAAATGTGTCATTGTTTCTTCATTATACACATGAACACCTAAATGATTTTGAAGTCATTTACCCAGTTCATCCCAGAGCTGCCTATACTTGTCAGTCATTGCAGTTCCTTGTTGTGTCCAAAGCGACAGACGAGGGTCAGCCATGAACTGTTCTGTTATCAATGTCAACATGCGAGCTCCATTTGAATCTCTCATCTTTAGCATCTCTCGCACCTAGGAAATGAGTCTTTTAATACAAACTTGAAAAAAACCCAAAACAAACCACAATATAGACAATATGCTGCGGTGTTAAACATTCCATCTCTGTTGAATAAGAAATATAATTTATATATATGATTTGAAATTTTTAATTAGAAAAAAATAGTCTGCCTTCCCAATCTTAATAATTTTTAGTTTCAGTATCCCATTGCAATTCTGCAAACATACTCCTTCCACAAGTAATCCATGGGTGTATTATGCAAGCTGCTACAAACCCATAATTTTTACAGGTTTCTCCAACATTTTGAGGGTAGGAAGGAAGAGAACAGCAACACTGCAGACAGTTGAAATGTTACTTCATTTCATTTAAACTAATCTCAAGACACACCAGATTGTGTTCCATTGCATTATTAACTTGCCATCATGTTCCCAGGGCTTTGTCTTGTTTTAAAACAACAGGACTTTGAGTAAGACCTGAACAAGTACAGAATGGATGGGGGAGTGGGGGGAGAAAAGAGGGAAATTTGAGTACTCATCATACCTTTGCAAAAAGCAAATTGAGCTGCTTCCCTGATCCATGGTATCCACCCTGGGAGAGGAAGAGTTTAACCTGTTCTTGGACCTGTTCCTCATCCAAATGCCAGCAGTTTTCATCATCTATGCTAGCACCTGCTGTTGGGTCAGGAGCACCTGGAAACAGCAAGAAGATAAATCGTTATGTTCTATATAAACAAGAGAGGTTTGTGAGTCCAGGGAAAAGGAGTACTGCAAAGGTTTTTTGATTTTTGTATTGCCCCATTTTGGATGTTTTGACTTTAATCTAAAGTTCTTTAAAATAGGCCTAAATTTCTCCTCAGTAGTCTTAACCACTTAGAAATGACAGATTATGAAAAAGTATTTAAATAAACAGTATTTATAATAAAACATTAAAATCAAGGTGAGGTTTTTTTCCTCCTGCCCCAGCAGTTATTCTAGAATGCTTTTACAAAGAAAATTACACTTTACATAATATTTCAACAACTGCAATGTTAAAACCTTTCTCCCCAGAACACCTATGTAATTTCTGTACCTTCGGCAATCTTGCTCAGGTTTAAGTTATGCTAACGAGCACTGCTGTTGATGAACATGAGAAAAATCATCACTTCAGTGCCTTTGAGCTGTGATGGCTTTGCAAAACTAAACAAAGAATAAAGAATAAAAAATAATCCCCAAACAAATCCAGTCTTTAAGTACTAAAGGCATTAACATAATAAATAAATTACAGCTGTGTAACATTGTGGTGCTTCTGAAGGAGCATTTTTACATAGGCAATGTCATCAGCATAGAGCAACTCTACCTGAATTAGCCTAGTGCCAACTGAAGTGACTGGATTTACATCAGGAAGTGCTTTGGCCACAGGTTGCTCTAACTCAAATTTTGCAGTTGAGATCAGTGATTTTCCACTTGTGGCCTTTTCTAAAGGCTGACAAAAATAAAAACAGTTCTTGCAGTATCTAACAATCTACACATTTCTGAAGAAGCCTGCACCTTCACTGGATATTTTTAAAAAGGTATTCTAACTGAAAAGGTTGAAAAGCACTTATCTAGACTGTCAGGGAAACATCTCATGGTATTGCATCACCATACTCAGATGTAAGGCATTTTAAGCATGCCCAAGACTTAAGTTTACTTGACATTTTGATTTTGGGCTTGTCCCAACTGTGTAATCTCTATCTATGTTAGGTTTTGAGAAGAAGTTAGAAGTAGAATTGCATAACACTATCACTTTTAAATCCCAGATCATGTTACCATCGCAGCCAATACTAAAAGAAGGCTACTGGCAGGGAAGAAAAGTTACATGGTCAGATTTGTAAAAACTTGCTTTCAAAGAAGTCCTGAGAACATAAAAAGCAAAGATAACTACAACTCTTCAGATGTACAGAAACACTGATTCTATTGATTTAAGCCTTTATTTCACAATTGCAGCTCTGCCATGTAGGTGAATCTTAAGTGGTTGCAGAGAATGATAGAATCTTTATTCAATGAAAATACAACTGGAAGATTTAGAGGGTCAGAGGGATGTCTTGTCTACTAGTTGCTAAGAGAGTAAAAAAAAATCTTCCAGCTCAGCAACTTCCTAAACTGCTTCCAACATCAGAGCCTACAGCTGTGAACACTGCACTGTTGTCCACATATTTTTTTTTAGATTAAAAAGTAATTATGTCTTTGAAGATGTGAAAGAATTCTTCTGCCTTTCATGGGAACCATAAGACTGTCTCAGAAGATGGGAATCAAGCCCAAGATGGTACAAAACCTGGAGGACACTGAGGGGGCACCTCATCGCAGTCTACAACTTTCTCGTGAGGGGAAGAGGATAGGTAGACACTGATCTCTTCTCTGTGGTGACCAGTGACAGAACCCAAAGGAATGGCCTGAAGTTGTGTTAGAAAAAGGTTCTTCACCCAGAGGGTGTTTGGGAACTGGAACAGGCTCCCCAAGGAAGCGGTCACAGCATCAAGCCTGTCAGAGTTTAAGAAGCATTTGGACGATACTGTCAGGCATATGGTGTGACTTTTGGGGATGGTCCTGTGCAGGGCCAGGAGTTGGACTCAATCCTTGTGGGTCCCTTCCAACTCAGCATATTCTGCAATTCTGTGATTCTGTGAATGGGAAACTTGCCCTTCTGTGAGTGCTTCCATCTTTACTATGTTAGTTTTAAGGGGTTTTACAGTCAGCTACATGTAACACATGCTGATAAATCTTCAGTTTCAAACAACTAGATAAACAGGGAAATCAAGCCACATGAGATGAAGCAGTGCAGATGTTTGTGCTGGTTTAAAAGTTAACCAGCAGGGGAAACCAACCCAACTCAAAAGAGAGATTACAAATCAGAATATCAATTTAATAAAATAATACAATAAGTACGACCACACGGACAAGCAACCGGCCCTAACCCACAAAGCCCAAATGTACAACCCAGCACCCTGGGGCACAAACAAAACGGTGCTCCCTGGACCCCCCCCCGAGTCCAAAGCAAAGGGAGAGGGGAAAAACCTGCTGGTGGGAGAGCTGCTGCAGTCCGGCCAAAAGTGGTGATTGCAGTTCAGTTGAGGGTGGTGGTCTCAGTCCGGCTGAGAGCGGTGAGCTGCAGTCTGGCTGAGAGCGGTGAGCTGCAGTCCTCCTCTGGATCCCACGAGTGGTGGTAAGGTTCTGAAACTCCAGGTTTATATATTCTCCAGTTCAGGTAGCAATGCTTAGTCCCTCCCCCAGAGCGGGGAATTCCATAAAAGGATGCTCAATCCTTCCCTCAGAGTGGGGAATTCCATAAAAGGGTGTGAGGGTGCTCAGTCAGGGAATTCCACAAAAGGGCATGAGGACAGGAGCATGAGGGGGGGGCACCTCGCAGGCCTCTACTGACAACAGTTTCTGGGAAATGGCATGGAGGGCTATAGAATACACAGTTTTGGGCTACACCTATCCAATGATGAATCGGTCCCAGCTGTTCTAACTAGGACAATGTTGAACAGACCCAGGTTTGCAGTATCACCTTGCACAAAACACACATATTTATCCCTCACTTCAAAGGAGATTTATCTTTAAAAAATCTTGGTATGGCTACTTTTAACTTTTACTAAAAATAGCCTAAGATTTCTCAGGTAAGCTTCCCTATTTGGGGAAAACACCAAAATTCCTTCCATAACTGTTTATATTTTATCAAAAGCTCATCAATCAGTTTGTGCTAGAAGGCTAAATTTCAACACAGCTACTGCAGATTCTTTAAAAAGGGTTCCTTTACAGGAATAAGGGAGCCCACTGCTGCATGCCAGCAGCACTGCCCCCACCAAGGCCTCTTCTTTCAGCACAATCCCAAATATACCTTCCCCAGGGGTTCAGCATTGCTATACTTAGACCAGCGTTATTTTTATGCCACTGGGTAAGAAGACTGTAAAAGCTTAAGACACCAACACGAGGGTCTGAGCTCTATGATGCTATTCAGCACAGTACTGACAGAGCAATATTTCCTCACAAGATCGTATATAGGTTACACTCAGTATGATCAAAATTTTTAACCAGAATGTATAAAGAACTTTCAGTATACATGTAACTGGCACCAGCTATGATTTGTAATTCACTTATCTTTCAACATCGTTTGCAGTCTTCAGCAATAGCCATGAAATAACAAGGCAAGGAGATGGCATGTCAGATTGGGCACAAGTCCAAACCCCATTTGCAGCCCTGGCAGCAGCCAGGCATCCTGATGTTGCTGCCAAAGAAGCCTCAGCTCCCACTGCCCATGTCATTCTTGTTCTGGGGTCAAGGCATGACCATCTCCGCATCTTTCAACTAGGCACTTTTCAAGTTCACTACATTCACTTACAATCAGGTCGTTAAGGAAACTTTCTTATCTGACCATTCAGGTGAGACTCCGACAGTCACACTCACGCCACCTGAGACTTTAACTGCTGACCCCGAAGCCTCTTAGCAGGTAGCTCCAATGAGCTGTTTGACTCCTTATACACCCCACAATCACACAGACAAGGTTTCCTTACCAGCTCCACCCCAGGTTTCCCATATGTCCTAGTTACAGGGGCTGGGACCAGTTTATCACAATGTGGGTATAACAAAAATTGTGTATTCTACACCCTCTATGTAATTTCTGATGGACTGTTAATAAATGGATTGTTTGCAGCAGCTACCAAGGGCACACCTGACACCTCAGGCTACAAGCTGGGTGTTAAAGAACCCTACAAGCTATGGGAGTGTTTCTTTGTCTTCACACCAATGGTTCAGCTGTGATAATTCCCCTCCGGAGAGGCATTGGCACCTTCACACCCAGCCTGAGGGGTCATCTGTGCTAATGAGCCATACTGGACTGGCACAATAGGCAGCTGCTACACCTAGACCATCAAAGACTCCAAAAATATCCCATGACTCACAGAGTTAAATCACCCATTGTGAAACTCCCTGCCCTGGGGGAGGCACTGGGCATTCCCACCTGAACCTGAGCATATATAATCTTTGGGTTTTGGGACTTTTGGTACCACTCATCAGATCGAGAGGATCAGAACTTCAACAGGACTGCGACTGCTACTCTCGACAAGATTGTGATCATTACTTCAACAGAACTGTGACCATCATCCAGACCAACAGGTTTTCCTTTCCTTTTACTGTGCACCCAGAGGGGTCATGTGGTGCTCAGCACAGGGGCTAATGAACACTGTTCTTTTCTTGTCCCAGGATTCTCAGTTATACATCTGTCTTTGGGGGTTAAAACCATTTTTCTCTCAATGTATTTATTGTAATCTTTTTTTTAGTAAATTGTAACTTGTAATCTCTCTTGAGTTGGGTTCATTTCTCCTGCCTGTTTACTTTTAAACCAGCACACCACATCATTGTCAGACCTCTGGTTCCTTTAAGTAATTTAATTATGATGCAGTGACACAATAACAGCTCAAGATGGTGCCCCTGGGGAGGGACCCTCAACAAAGGAATCCCTGGACTGTTATTACAGTCTGTGCACCCATTTCAATAGTGATTTTGGGTCTGGGGTCTTCTCATTTTCATTGGCTTCTGCAGGGTCTCTGGGTGATTGGCTGGTGCTGCAGATCTACTTACCCTTTGTTAGGCAAAGGGGCGGTGCCTGTTCATGTCTCCTTGCCTGGGGCTCCAACCATTTCATTCACCCAGGGCACAACCTTCAGCTTGCACTGCACCTGCACACCAAGCTACTGGTCCTAAATTTATTCCTCAACAAGGTGAACACTGACTGATCTAGTCTGCTTCCTCACCCATTAGCACACACATCACTCTTGAGCGACACAGAGGATTTTCTACACTGCTGCTTTTCTTCTGAAGACGTGGGACTGGAACTATCTGAACAAGCAACAGGACTGCAGAAGGGAGCTACCTTAGGAGCTGTGAAATGAAGTCCTAGCAATAGCTGGCAAGTAGATCTGAAGGGTCAACCCAAAGGCAGTGTCCTCGCTTGGGGTGCAGTGCGGCCCTGAAAAAGCGCAAGGCTTCAGGAGATGGACAGTTTGACTGTGGAGAGGAATATGGGCAGCTGTAGTGGGTTGACCCTGGCTGGATGCCAGGTACCTGCTAAAGTGACTCTCTCCATCCCCCCTGTAACTGGACAGAGGAAAGAAAAAAAACAGTGAAGGATTCATGAGTTGAGAGAAGAGCTGGGAGAGGTCACTTACTGATCATCACGGGCAAAACAGACTCAAAGTGAGGATATTAATTGAATTTATTACTAACAGGGTCAGAGCAAAAGAGTGAGAAGTAAAATAATCTTAAAAACACCTTCCCCCCACCCCTCCCTCTGTCCAAACTCTACCTCCTCCCCCCGGTGGTGCAGGGAGATGGGGAATGGGGGTTATGGTCAGTTGTTGTTTCTGCTGCTGCTCAGAGAGGAGTCCTTCCCTGCTTCCCGTGGGGTTCCTTCCACGGGAGACAGTCCTTCACGAACCTCTCCAATGTAAGTCCATCCCACAGGCAACAGTTCTTCATGAAACTGCTGAATTTAAATTTCTGCAATGCAGTTTGGTACCAAGACCAAATCCCTTTCCCCACTTGTAAACTGAGGGTATTACTTACACTAACGTATTAAATCTTCCTCTCTCCAACCTTTGGCTGTCATGAGTGGTTTTTGAAATAGGTTTTACATCATGTACTTACAGTTAAATACAATAAATAAAGTATTTATACTCAGTATATAGATACAGCCATACATACATACTAATGCTCTTTTACTAAAATTACTAAATTGCAATCTTAGTAATAAAAGCGGGAATACTGTGCACAATTTTTTTGTAACCCTGAACACCCAAATACATTTTGAAAATAGGGCAACAGCCTTTTATATTTAGTCATAACAGGTTACATGTTAAATGTAATCAACTCCTAAATTATAAAAAGCAGCAGCATTTAAAAAAAATCACTTTGACCATTACATAGCAATTTTAAAAGCAACTACTTTCAAACTGAGCAACTGCATTCAAGAACTGGTGTCATATATAAAGAACTTAAACTTTCAAAGTAAATAGAAGCAAAGCAAGGGGCTTTGACTAAAATAGTCTAAGAATAGTCTATATTGCAAACTACTCAGGGTACAACAGTAAATTAAATAAGGCAAAATAAGGTTCAATAAGGCAAAGTGTCCTACACTTGGGTCACAACAACTCCATTCAGTGCTACAAGCTGGGGGAAGAGTGGCTGGAAAGCGTCTCAGCAGAAAAGGATCTGGGGGTGTTGGTAACAGTGACTGAACATGAGCCAGCAGTGTGCCCAGGTAGCCAAGAAGGCCGGTGATTGTCCCTCTATACTCGGCACTGGTGAGGCCGCACCTCAAGTCCTGTGTCTAGTTTTGAGCCCCTCACTTCAAGAAAGACATTGAGATGCTGGAGCATGTCCAGAGAAGGGCAATGAAGATGGTGAAGGGGATAGAGAATAAGTCATGTGAAGAGAAGCTGAGGGACTTGAGGTTGTTTAGCCTGGAGAAAAAGAAGCTCAGGGGTGACCTTCTCACTCTCTACAACTACCTGAAAGGAGGTTATAGACAGGTGAGGTCAGTCTCTTCTCCCAGGCAACTAGCAAGAGGACATAGCCTCAAGCTGTGCCAGGGGAGGTTCAGGTTGGACATCAGGAAGAATTTCTTCACTGAAAGTGTGGTTAAGCTTTGGAACAGGCTGTCCAGGGTGATGGTGGAGTCACCATCCCTGGAGGTGTTCAAGAAATGACTGGGTGTGGCACTTAGTGCCATGGTCTAGTTGACAAGGTTGAGATTGGTCACAGGCTGGACTAGATGATCTTAGCTGTCTTTTCCAACCTTAATGATTCTGCGATTCTATGATTTTAAATTTTAGTTAATATGATGGCAGTAAACTGCTTCCCCGGTCCTTATTTCTGAAGTATAACAAGAGTTGTTTTAATCTTCAAATGAAACCATGCCACATTATTTACTCAGCCATACCGAATGTTTTAAACTTAATTTTATAAAAATCTTATAGATTTAAGTATACAAGTGAAATGTAGGTTAATTTTTATTAAATGTCACCTCACGGCAGTGTCAAGAGGATATGGGAAAACAATTACGACTAAAAAGCATGTGTACTATGCAAAGATTGAATGGTCCAAGCTAGAAACCAATAATGCTGTACATTGCTTCACAACAGAATAGTAACTGATTTTATAAACTTAGCGTGCTCAGAATTATTCTAAACATTAATTATATAGAAACAAAGCTGATAAAATTAGTTATTACAAAATATTATGCCTTTGATTTCCCAAATGATTCAAAGTTCAGACATAAGTCACTTCATCTTGTATTTAATTTCAGAACTCTTGGGTAAAATATAACAACTGTTCAGTAGTGCACAGCATCAAAGGAAAACAGCAACTACTGTGAACAGCCAGTGCTAATAAGAGAAAATGTAAAGAAAGGACTGGTGTGATGGTTTTGACTGAGATAGAGTTAATTTTTTCCACAGTAGCTTCTATGGGTGTATTGGGTTTGTGTGGCAAGGTTTTGGTAGCAGGGGGGATACATGGGTGGCTTCTGTGAGAAGCTGATAGAAGCTTCCCTTATGTCTGACAGAGCCAATGCCAGCCAGCTCCAAGATGGACCTACTGCTGCCCAAGGCCAAGCTCATCAGTGAAAGTGGTAGCACCTCTGGGATAACATATTTAAGAAATGAAGTTATTGTACAGAAGCAATTGCAGCTAGAGAAGAGAGAGAAACAACTCTGCAGACACCAAGGTCAGTGAAGAAGGAGGGGAAGGAGGTGCTCCAGGCACTGAAGCTGATTCCCCTGCAGCCTGTGGTGAAGACCATGGTGAAGCAGGCTGTCCCCCTGCAGCCCATGGAGGTCCATGGTGGAGCAGTGATCCACCTACAGCCTATGGAGGACCCTATGCCAGAGCAGGTAAATGTGCCTGAAGGAGGCTGTGACGCCATGGGGAGCCTGTACTGGAGCAGGTTCCTGGCAGGACCTGTGACCCTGTGGATAGAGGAGCCTATGCTGGAGTAAGTTTGGTGTCAGGACCTGTGACCCTGTTAGGGACTCGCACTGGAGGAATCTGTTCCCGAAGGACTGCAGCCTGTGGAAGGGTCCTACACTGGAGCAGTTAATGAAGAACTGTAGATCGTGAGAAGAAGTCACGTTGGAGAAGTTTGTGGAGAATTGTTTCCTGTGGTAGAACCCCACACTGGAGCAGGGGAAGAGTGTGAGAAGTCCTCCCCCTGAGGAGGATGCAGCAGCAGAAACAAAGTGTGATGAACTGACCACAAGACCATAATGTAAACACCATTGTTATAGTTTCTTTTTATTAGCTTCTGGTGAATTTTTTCACACCAACCGCTTGGCTGGGGTGGGGTGAGTTTTCAGGTTTTAGTGTTTGCTCGGCTTAGACCTTAACGACTGTCTTACTGACATGCTAATGGCTTCTCTCAGCAAGAAGGAGAGCTCTTTTGTTTTCCTCTCTCCGAGGCAAGGGGGGAAGGTAGATTTTTGCTGTGTGGTTTTGGCAGAAGTGGCAGTTGCAGAGAAAGAGAGAAGGGGGACTAGGAGGCTGGCAGTTCTTTTTGCTGGGAGGTGCTTGGGTTTTGGGGGTTGTTTTGCCTTCTTTGTTTTTTTTTCTTTCTGCTGGGGACAGCCCTTGACTTTAGCCCTGACTCAGGGAAAGTGTGGGAAGAGAAGAGCTCTGGGGTTCATTTTGGTTTTGGCCAAGTCATCTAGCTGCCTTTGGCCCCGGTTCGCCTCCGTTCCCTCATGCCCTGTTCTGCCCACGGCCCAGACTTGCCTCAGATTTCATTGGAGAAGCTGGTACCATCTGCGGAGGAACTTTTGAGGGGAAAGGCTGCTCTTCCTCCCCCCTCCTTCTCTGTGCCAGTGGCAGTTTATACCCATTGAGGAGGAAGGGGAATTCCAGCCGGAGCCAGTCTATGACAGCGTGAGTCCACCAGAGGAATGACCCTCCAACCCTCCCCCCTTCTCCTTTCCGCCTTCGGTGGGGGTCTCCGTTTGGCGCGTGGGCCCACAGACGCAGTGGCTGCCACAGCCCAACAGCGCCCCCTGCCCACCACCAGAGAGCAACTGCATCCTCCGCTCCTCTGGAGCCCAACAGCGCCCCCTGGTGACCTATAGTGAGGCACTGCAGCCCCTGCCTCCCGAGGCGCCAGCGTCCCCTGATGGGTGTGGTTATAACTGCGCTGAAAGGCAAAGAAGTACTTAATTGTTTTCAGTGAAAGTTGGGTTATGGGATTGTTGCTTGTTTGTTTGTTGTGTTACCTATATATATATATATTCTTTAGTAAAGAGCTGTTATTTTTCTTTTCCACACTTTTCAACTGGAGCCTCTTAATTTCAAAGTTGTAATTACTCGGAAGGAGGAGCTCAGTTGTTTTTCCCATATCCCACCCTCCTAATGGAATATTTCTGTCTCGTTAAACTGAGACAACCATAAAAATCACAAAGTAATTCAGGTTGGAAGGGACCTCAGGAGGTCACACTTGTGAGTGCCACAAGAGAAAAGACCTCAGAAACCCGAGAGGGAACGAAACAAAAGGAAGAACAACTATCAAACTTACCATGGACTTGATTGATTTCCGAATTCTGAGAAAGAATTTCGTCTGCTAATTTCTGAGCAGTTGGCAAAACTTCTGTATGGTGCACTGTGATCAAATACTGTACAAATTTTTGTAGTTGGTCTCTGTTCATTTGAAACAGTGTCTCTGAAATGGGAAGATGCAGTTTGACCTGATCTGGCTTGCGGATCCGGTATAAAGAGAGTGCCACAACATGGGCACAGTAAAATATGTCCTTGTTTCCACAGCTACAGGTCACTGAGGTAATCTTGCAACGATCAAAGCTGATAGCTACATTGCAAAGAGTTTCTGGCTCTGATTGCATTGCAGGGTCTGTCACTGTGCCACTTAAGTGGAAACCTGTGAAGGGAAAAAAAGGAGGTCTTACATTATTAAATCAAATACCATATCTTATTATCAATACCCTTTCATTAATCAAGTAAAAGTCATCATCTATTTCTGAGAAATAATATAACTTAAAGAATTTGCTTTAATTACAAATATGATGAACTTTTTCTTTCATTCATACCCTTTTCATCTCAAATAAAATCAAAAGGAGCTAGTTTACAAGCCCTCTTTGCTATTCCATCACAACATTCATAAAAGTTTGATAGTAAGAAAAAGTTATTTGGTAAATGATAGCTGCAGAAGCAGAGTTGCATACAACTAAGACCAATGTGAAACTCCCAGTAGTTCAGCAAGCTGACAGCAATTTTCCAAACCTCACACCAGAGAGCCTACACCTACCAGCAAATTTAACCATTCTCTCAATAAGTAAGAGGAAAGTAGTGCACTCTAGTGATACAAACCCTGGTCCTAATCTCAACTCTGCCACCAATTCACTGACATAAGTTACTTAACCTCATTGCTTTCACCTCTCCCCTCGCTGAGCTGATGCTAAAGCTTCAACTCAAGCAATTTTGTAGGGCAGCTATGTTTGTGTAGCTCTTTGGAGATGGAAACTGCTGCAGTTACTGATACACAGCATATCAGATTTATAATAATGAATGAGACACACGTGCACTGTTTCAGAAGTGTACATTTCCACTCGGCATGATAAAGCAAAAGGTAAAAGACCTGGGTTACCTTATATTGTAAGAAGGTATGGTATACCATAAGAAAGATTTTCACTTCAGCTACTACTCCACCAAGCACCCTGTTGAACCAAAGTCTCAAACTATTCTCTGAAGATCAGACCTAAACCTATCTCTGTTTTCCCAACATAAAGACCCAGATTTGGCTCTCAATACTTTATCACTGAAGAATTTGTGTGTTTCTTTTGGATTTTATGTAAACATGACATTGATTTTTAGTTCAAGCATAAAGTCAGAGGTATAGATACAAAGCAATACAAACAAATTACATATTCTGTATCAGTATTAAACTTGAACAGACTGCATGCATAAAAACTAGAACGGATATTACAAATAAGGTGTTATACATTAACTATTTATAATGGAAATAATATAAAACCACATTCCCTCAAAGTCCAAAACTGATGAAGTATTCTTCTATTTAAAGAAAAGTGTGTTGTAGGAAGCAGTATCCTCCCTCTGCCTTTCCCTTTGGTTTTTAAGTAATCATAGCATGCTCCCAAGAGTGCCCTTTCTCAAAAAAAGAAGATTTGTTAAAACTTATCCAGTTCTATTTCAGGTTAATTTCCAGTAAATGGGATATGTATTGGTGGTCTCAAAAAAATTGTATGGGAGATATCTTTTTTTAAATATAACTTTCCTATGAAACATGCATAAAACTCTCTCATCTATGACCTGAGGAAAAGTCTAACACTCAAACACTCAAAAAGGGCCTGATCCTACTCATCCCTGCTCTCAGTAAGGAGCTATATTGGGTCTGTTTGAGATGGTGTTCATTTCCCCATAGCAGCCCTCACAGTGCTGTGCTTTGCATTTCACACTGGTAGCTAGAAAGGTGTTGATAACACACCAGTGTTTTGGCTACTGCTGAGCAGTGCTGGCACAGCATCAGCACTGTCTTTCCAACATTCCGACCCCAATTAGTAGGCTGAGGGTGGGCAAGATCCTGGCAGGGGGCACAACTAGGCCAGCTGACCCAAACAGACCAAAGGAATATCCCAGACCATATGACGTCAGCTCAGATATAAAAGCTAAGGGAAGGAGGAGGAAGGGGAGGCATTCTTTATTTACGGTGTTTGCCTTCCAGAGTGGCCACTATGTGTGCTGCAGCCCTGCTTCCTGGGAAGTGGTCGGACATTGCTTGCTGGTGGGAAGCAGAGAATAAAATGGTTTTTTTCCCTTTGCTTGTGCACGCACAAACTTTTGCTTTAGTAAACTGCCTTATCTCAACCTATGAGTTGTTTTCCATCTTATTTTCTCTTCCCTGTCCAGCTGAGAAGGGGGAGTAATAGAGTGGCTTGATGGGCACTTGGCATCCAGCCAAGGTCAACCCACCACAGTCCTTTTTGGCACCCAGTGTGGGGTGAGACAGTGGCAGTTATATATTAAGCATGCTATAGTAATAGTAGTTATTGAGTATCAAGCTCCTGTGGGGGACACAGAGTTTGTCAGATGCACTGCTTATCTCTTTATTTTACTGAGTTTGGGAACATGTTAATACAAATAATGTCTCTGTACTTTGCCCTTCTATTGATGGCCTTGTTGTGCTGGGGGAGCTATCTTGCAGAGAGGATGAGGGAATATATCTCCCTCTCCCTATCCAGGATCGATGTGGATGGTTTTATAATGCAGGCTCCCGTGGTCCTTGTTCACCCTTACACGAACTGTTTAATACTATCAATTAATACTGTTGGCACACTATGGAATTCATGTAATCTTGTGTCATCCTGGTGTAAGAGAAAATAAATTTTAGGTGAGGATATATTGAAATGTGCCCTGAGGCATCTAGTTCCCAGCTGGCAGGGTGTGTGGAAGGATATGGGCAGGTTCCTAAGGTGGTTATCACCTCCCATTACCTGGGACTTTACACCTGAACAGGTATTCAACCCTGGCAAACTGACATGTCACCTGATGGAAGGGTGCCTTGTCTACCCCAATGAAAACCAGCAGCCTCTTGCCCTGTACTGGGGCCTGGCCTGTGCCTATCGAGCCACAGTTCAGTACTCTCAGAGGACTGTGGTTGAGAAAGGAAACCCAAACTGCAATGGAGGACACTATGGCTGAGATAGGGACTCAAACCACAACAACTACAGTCATTGCCCCAGTAAAGAAAAAAAAAATGGATAAGGAGAACTACCGGTCCATGTCATCAACTAGAAAGGCTGGAAGAAGAAGAAAAAGAAGGAAAATCAGGAAAGGAAGGGTCTGATCAAGAAGCCAGTCCTTCAACAAAGAAATTGAAGAAAGGAGTAAGACAAATCAAACAGGAAACTGAAGTTAGCCAGTCCCTGACCTCATCAGAACTTTGAGGCTTGCAGAAAGATTACAGCCACTAGCCAGGTGAGCGGATTCCTACCTGGCTACTTTGATGCTGGGATAATGGGGCCAATAGTCAGCAACTGGAAGGTCATGAAGCCCAACAGTTGGGATCCCTTGCAAGAGATCAGGAAAGAGGAATTGGAAAAGAGGCAGCAATTCGGAGTCTCTGCAGATGGCTCCTCTCCAGTGCGAGGGCAAGGTATCGATTTAAGGAAGATCTTGTGAACTCCACAGGAAAGTGAACCACTGCAGACGAAGGTATCCAGTACTTGAGAGAATTAACAGTGCTGGAAGTCATCTACGGTGATCTAAAAAAATGATAACATTCAGAGGATGTCCTTTGCACACACACCACATGGAGGAAGGTGATTCAAAGCCCCTCTGCATCATATTCCAACAGCTTGATAGCATTGTATTACCCGCAAATGGATACACCAGCTGTAGAGGTGACATCCTCTTGGATCTGAAACATAGAAGAAACTGTGTACTTTCACATCCTTACGGGCCAGCATCTCAGCTCTTAGGGGCAGCCCAGGAGATGGGTCCTCTCCTGCCCCAGTCAGAGGGAAAGGAAACCCCAGGCACAGGGCACGTGGTGAACTCTGGTTCTTTCTGCATGACCAGGGGGAAGACATGAGCAAGTGGATTGTGACTCCACCTTTAAGTTGGAAGCCCATGTATGTGAACTGAGAGGGAAGAGAGCTCTTAAGAAGGGGTCAACCAAGAAGGCTATCAGTGTAGTTGCTATAGAGACACGAGAAGGCAATCAGTGATCTCCCAGACATAGAAGGACTGAAATCATCTCCCTTGATCCTGGTGAGGGGACTTCTGGGCTGGCACTGCAAGGGTCAGACAGTGAATACTCTGACCAGGAATGGGAATAGAGGGTCCCTGTCTTTGGCCAGGAGGAGGAAAGGGATGACTGGGCATACTGGACTGTGTGGATTCTATGGCCTGGCACACCAGATCCACAGAACTATAAAGGTTTAGTAGATACTGGTGCACAGTGCACACTGATGCCATCAAGGCACAGGAATGCAGAACCTATCTGGATCTCTGGAATGACAGGGGCATGCCAGGAGTTGCCTGTATTAGAGGCTGAGTTAAGAGGGGACAAGTGGGAAAAGCACCCCATTGTGACTGGCCCAGAGGCCCCTTGTATACTTGGCATCGACTGCCTCAGGGGGGGGTACTTCATGGATCCAACTGGGTACCGATGGGTTTTTGGTGTAGCCACTGTGAATAAAGAGAAGATCAAACAATTGTCTACCCTGCCTGGCCTCTCAGAAGATCCCTTCATCGTGGGATTGCTGCAAGTTGAAGAACAGCAGGTGCCAATTGCTACCAGGTCAGTGCACCAGTGGCAATACTGCACAAACTGAGACTCCCTGGCTGCCATCCATGAGCTGATTCATCAGCTGGAGAGCCAAGGAGTGATCAGCAAGACTCACTTGCCTTTTAATAGTCCCATATGGCCAGTGCAAAAGTGTGATGGAGGGTGGAGGTTAACAGTAGACTATCGTGGCATGAATGAAGTGACACCACCGCTGAGTGCTGCTGTACCAGAAATGCTGGAACTGGAGTTGAAGGCATCCAGGTGGTATGCTGCAACTGACATTGCCAATGCATTTTTCTCAATTACTTTGGCAGCAGAGTACAGACCACAGTTTGCTTTCATGTCGAGGGGTGTCCAATACACCTGGAATTGACTGCCCCAGGGGTGAAAACACAAACCTACCATCTGTCACAGACTAATCCAAACTGTACTGGAACAGAGTGATGCCCCTGAACATCTACAATACATCGACATCATTGTATGGGGAAACAAGGCAGAAGAAGTGTTTGAGAAGGAAAAAAGAATAATTCAGATTCTTCTGAAAACTGGTTTTGCCATAAAGAAAAGCAAGGTCAATGGACCTGCACAGGAGATTCAGGGGATTGGAAAGA